CCCGCATCAGATTCTGTGTCTCCCTCTCTCTCTGCCCCTCCCCTACTCGCGCTGTTTCTCTCTGAAAAATAAACGTTTAAATTAAATTTTTTTAAAATTTTGATAGAGTTTCAGACTTAGAGATAAGTTACAAGAACACAACAAAGAATTCAGGAATGGTCTTCACCCAGATTACTCAAAATGAACGTTTCATTACATTTTCTTTGTCGTTTTCTTTTACCTTTCTGTGTGTGTGTGTGTGTGTGTGTGTGTGTGTGCGTGCGTGTGTGTGTGTGTGTGTGCGCGCGCCCGCATGTGCACACACATTCGTGTACTCCTGCATGTGTGTATAATTTTTTTCTGAACTACTTAAGAGTAAATTGCCTTCTCTCATGCTCTCTTAATCCTAAATACTTGTTTTTCTTAAAAATGAATTCTCTTACATAGCCACAGCACAGCGACTAAAATCAGGAAGTTAGCAGTGGTAACAGTACTATTTTTAATCCGCTGACTTTACTCAGCTTTCACCAATTGTCCCAATATGTCCTTGGTAGCAAAACAGAAGCCCAGATTCTCTGTGACATTCAGTTGTCAGTTGTCATCTCCTTCCTTTTTTAAACTCTGGAAATCTCTAATATTTCTGTGTCTCAAGGTATATTAGAGACATGGGGTTTTTGTTGTTTTGATTTTTGGTTTCTAAACCGTATGTATGGAAGCACAGTGACTGAGCCAGTGTTCTGGGCCAGACTACCTGGCTTCAAATTCTGGTTTCACTACTTACACTATTTTTCCTACCAGTCAAATGGGGATACTAATCCCACCCCTTAAGGCTGCGGGGATTAAATAAATAGGTGCGTGTACATTACCGAGCACAATGTCTGGCATAGGAAGTGCTCTGAAAGTGCTAGCCGTTTGCATTCACACCACTAACTGGCGTTCGCAGGGAACACTGTGCACACATCTTGGCAGTAGTAGTTGTGGTTGTTTTCTCCTCTCTTCTCTCACCCTCCTTCTCTTCACATCTATGTTCCAGAGAGCAAACTTGGCCAGCTTACTCAACTGCACGATGCCTTAGATTGGTAAAAACTGCTCTAAGCGAGCAGCTTCTAGAGGTTCATGAACTCATATTGATTGGTAACGAGTTTTGCTGGTCTAACAAATAGGAAGAGTAAATGAATTTTCATAAATGCTAACTTGTTTATTGTGAAATTATATAGTTCTTTTTTTCAACTTTTTACATTTATTTCTTTTATTTTTTTATGTGTATTTATTTTTGAGAAGGAGAAAGACAGAGTGCGAGTGGGGGAGAGGCAGAGAGAGAGGGAGACACAGAATGCGAAGCAGGCTTCAGGCTCTGAGCTGTCAGCACAGAGCCCAACATGGAGCTCGAACTCACAAACTGTGAGATCATGACCTGAGCTGACGTCAGAGGCTTAACTGACTGAGCCATCCACGTGCTCCAACTTTTTACATTTATTTTGAAAGAGAGAGGGCATGCACCAAGCGGGGGAGGGGCAGGGAGAAAGAATCCCAAGCAGGCTCCACATTGTTAGTGCAGAGCCTAATGCAGGGCTTGAACTCATGAACTGTGAGGTCATGACTTGAGCTGAAGTTGGATGCTTAACTGACTGAGCCACCCAGGCGCCCCTCTTTTGGTGTTCTTTTAGGGGCACCTGTGTGGCTCAGTTGGATAAGTGTCCGATGTTGGCCCAGGTCATGGTCTCACGGTTCGTGGGTTCGAGCCCCGTGTCGGGCTCTGCTGACAGCTCAGAGCCTGGAGCCTGCTTCAGATTCTGTATCTCCCTCTCCCTGACCCTCCCCTGCTCATGCTGTTTCTGTCTCTCAAAAATAAATAAAACATTAAAAAAATATTTATTATAGATGGTTGTTCTGTCATTATTGTTCATTATTATATTTTAATGTTTAGTAGGTCAGAAAATGCAAGCCCATTAATCCCCAAGATATTTTTGGAGATTTTACTGGTGTCTGACAGCCAATGGCCTGGGAATGACTGCTCTAAAAGATGTATATTTGACTGTGTGCTTATTTAATTAAGTAATTTAAAATTTTATTTATTTATTTTGAGAGAGCGCATGTGCACAAGAGCCAGGGAGGGGCAGAGAGAAAGGAAGAGTTAGAATCCCAAGCAGGCTCCCTGCTCTTAGTGCAGAGCCAGACGTGAGGCTCGATCTCACAGACTGTGAGATCATGCATGACCTGAGCTGAAATCAAGAGTCAGCCGCTTAACCAACTGACTCACCCAGGTGCCCCTGGCTTTGTGCTTATATATGAGCACCTGTGAATAGTATTTCTGTCTAGAAATTCATTAGTCTTTGATTAAATGAATGTTTATTGACTCCCTCCTGAATGCTAGACATTGTACTAAATGATTTACATATCTCTTTATCTTCATGATCAGCCAAGTGAGCTCTGTGTTATTCTGCCTGCTTACAGGGAGAAAACGGAATCTCGAAGGCTAATGTAACCCAGCCCAGGTTATACAACCCCGAGTGGCATAACTGCAGTTAGAACCTAGGTCTCCTTGATTACAGAAGCCGTGTGGGGCTCCTTCTTCTGCCTAGTGGTTTACGCTACTCGTGTGCTTGGGATCTGTGGAGTTTTAACATAGGATCTATAAATCTACAAGTTCAGGGGTCTCCCTTCAGTCAAGATAGGCCGAAGGTACAATCACCATGTCGAGAGTTCTTTTGTTTTTTTTTTAATGTCCTTGTAGTACAAAAATTTGGAAATATTTCTTCACCCTACAGACAATAATCATTTGGATGATAGGCAGGAGTGCCTAATTTTTAGTGACTCTTAAATTAGGAATGAAACTACCACCTTGTCTGGGTCCGAGTGATTCTTCAGCCTTTGGTTCTTGCTATATATATAGGCTGCTTTCCAAGGAAAGAAAATGAGCTGCTGTGTGAAATTAGTGGCTTCCCAAGGAACACTTAAGAACTCCTGACTGGGCATGGAAAATAAGAGGGCATTTAAAGACTTAATACTAGCGCGAGGTGAAAAGTTGAAGGCCGTGTCACGAGTTGCTGAAGTAGACAGATTCCGGCTCCAAGGGTGTGGGGTGCTGTGTCTCTGGTGCAGTGTTTCCTAAATTTGGTTGTACATCACAACTGTCCGTGGTGCTTTCTGAAAAACACATAAACCTGTGCCCCCCTCTAGATCTGCTAACTGAGAGTCTGACTGAGAGCCCCATATGTATGTGCAACTGGAAAGCTCCCCCAGGTGATGCTGGGGGACCAGCTTACCTCTGGCTGTTCCCCGGATAATCAGATGCCTCACCGGCCTTGGAAGATGAAGGCTGCTGTAGGTTAAGGACAGTTGTCTGAGGCACCCTCTTGAAAGGTGCAACGTACACTTCTGATCATGCGTACTGGGGTTGATAAATGGGCTACCCAGGGCCATGTTAGTGCCTTCTTTTCCCTAATTGTTCACTGAGGTGATCAACGTTCTTGTCAGAAGCCCATTTCTATACTCTGCCTGACAACGTACTCCTAATTCCCTGTTGTAAATGATAGTTGTAGAAGAGTACTTTGGGGAATTCAATCATCCACTGATTCATTTCGCACCTTTCTGTAGTCCTGTGCCCATTCTGCAAGTGGCCTAAGAGTAGAGCAGTGGGGGGCTGCTGTGAGGCTTACCCTGCGCTCCTCAGTATGGCTTCCAGGGCCCAGTGTGATCTGGCTTGTGCCTCAGCTCACACCCACCGCTCCCTCACTGGCTGTGTTTCAGACACTGGTGTCTTCTAGTCCTTGAATATGTCAACCTCATGCTTCTTACACCTGCAGATCTTTCGGTGGCTCCCTCTAACGACTAAGGCCTAAGCTCAGATGTTGTCTCCTCAGAGAGCTATTCCCTCATTAGTCTATCATGTTACCTGTTTTATTTTTCCTTGTAGCGTTATCCCTCTCTGAATTACTTTTTTAAAAAAAGTTTTATTTAAATAATCTTCTACACCCAACGTGGGGCTCAAACTCACAACCCCGAGATCAAGAGTCACGTGCTTTTCCAACTGAGCCAGCCAAGTACCCCTCTCTCTAAAATGACTTTATTTGCTTATTTATTGTTTGTCTCTTCTACTCGGATGTCCGCTCCATGACAGCAGATACCTGTCTGTCTGGTTTTCCATTGAACTCCAGCACCTGGAACAGCGCCTCCTTCCTAATAGGTGCTCACTAAGTGTCAGAGGAAGGAATGCTTCGGGCTTTACACCCTCACACATCCTTTCCGTAGGGCAGGCCTGGCCTGAGCTTGTGTACGTATCTCTTGTTGCCGGTAGCTTAGAACTGTAGCGGTTTTCCGGAGCAAAGCTGAATATCCTCAAGTCTCAGGGTTTTTCTAAATCTGCCATGCCACAGCGCCTCCGTGGAGCTTCTTCCTTGCGCACATGTTGTAGGTTAGAATGACAAGAGCTTTGGAAAACGTAGGTCCACAAGGCTCACTTAGAGGGTAAATGATCCTTTTGGAGTAGAGTCAACTTCACTGTCTCTCAAGTGGTAGGGTTTTTGTCCTTTGGGCAAGAGCTGTATCCTGAGATCCTGGGAAAGGCCATCTTGAATTTGAAAGAATTTAGCCCCATTTGTCAGTCCTGTCTCTCCCCTTGTGACAGAAATATTGTCGTCTGAGTTCAGACAAAACATGTGGCCTGGCCTTCTGACTCAGAGACCTAACTGGGGGACCTTCTTGTGCAATGCAGTGTTGTTCGTTTTATAAAGTTTCTGGAAGCCTCAGAGAGGTTTTCCTAGTGGGCCCCTTTGAGAATGGTACAGACCCTCTCCTTAGAAAACAGACAAGCCTCTATGCACAGAGTTTTGCCCACAATTTTGAGGGGTGTAGGACTTGCTAAATGCCTTCCACAGACCCTACAATTCTGTCTGGGGATTTAGATTGGTCTGCTCATCCACCACAGCTGGGTCAAAGCTCTTCCATGGCTGTTTCTTTCTGACCTGGTCTGTCTTCTGTGTCCTCTCTCGTTTTTATAATAACCTGCTGGACCCTCTCAGGCCCAGAAGAGGCGATATTCTCCAGGAGTCCAGGTACTCAGTCTTGACCCACCATGGCCATCCCTTATTCCCTACGTGTCCATCCAGCATTTGCCCCTGTTCACACCCATGTGGCTGTTGTCTTGAGTCACCAGTCTCTGATTTTGACTGCATCTCCACCTTGCATGTTGACTGTTGAGGACAATGATGAAGTCACTGAAGAGTGGCATGTGTCGTGTTTCCCCTCATTTCATCACTCTGCCTCTGCACTGCCTTCGCACTGGGCTGGTTCTTAAAGGTTAGGGCATCACTTCTGAGGAAGCATTCCCTCCTACAACTCTGTCAGAGAGACAGAGAGGGCCTCTGAAGTAGGTGGGAAAATGGGTAGTGGAGTGGGAGGGTATTGCTGGCAGAAGTAATGTGTAGGGGAAGCTTAAGTGGGCTGGAAGGTCTTTCAGCTAAGAACAGTCCAGGCTGGAGAACACCGTCTGGCAGCCCGGTTCTGGCAGTGCTGTTTCTGAGTCCTAATCCACATGGCATCCATCGTATGCTTATAGGATTTGAGAATTTGAAAGGAACTATCCAGAATGTAAAGGTTTCCCTGATCAAATGGGTATTTTCAGAGTACCTGCTGTGTATAAAATGCTTACTCGGAGGGTGAGTGGGGGTGGGGGAAGGGGATTTGGGGGAAGGTGGAGACACATCAGTATGATTTTTTTTCTTTAAGAAGTTTACATGGCAGTTGGGGGAGATAGGTATATATACATAAAAAGGAAACCACCAGTCCTGGGCCATGTGTAAGTGGCAAATAGGGATCTCTGGAAGGATTCAAGTCAGACTCCAGAGGGGCCGTTTCAGGCCCACCCCAGGTTTGTAGCAAGGAGGATTCCTGAAGGCAAGTACAGAGTTCAGTTGCTTTCTGGGCTATATCCTTTGAGTGACCATCTGAGAGTGGGTTTTCGGGAGCTGCTAATGATGAGGCAGAGTGGTCGTCTGGTCTGCTGGAAGGGGCTCAGCTTGTATGTGCACATTTCCTGTTGCTGTTCGTACAGGCATTCCTAAGAGCACTTCCTTACTGTCCTCCGCTTTTCCTTCCCTGCTTTCCCAGCGGGTATTCCCTTACATCTCAGCCATGGTGAACAATGGCTCCCTCAGCTACGATCATGAGCGGGATGGGCGGCCTACAGAGCTGGGGGGCTGTACGGCCATTGTCCGCAATCTGCATTATGACACCTTCCTTGTGATTCGCTATGTCAAGAGGCATCTGACGGTGAGTCCTTGTTTTCTGGACCAGTTGGTGGTATGGGCTGCCTCGCACCTCCATTCATGGCCCTGATTTATCTCTTCTTTTTATTCTAGATAATGATGGACATCGATGGCAAGCATGAGTGGAGGGACTGCATTGAGGTGCCGGGGGTCCGTCTGCCCCGGGGCTACTACTTTGGCACCTCCTCCATCACTGGGGATCTCTCGGGTATTGCCACATGCACTCTTTATTTGTCCTGAGTGAGGTCATGTCTTGATAGCCAGGCCTTGGTGAGGCTTCTCAGAGGGGAAAGCCAGACAAGCAGAGCTGTGGGAAGCAAGTACCTGGAAACTGCCTGTCTTCTGACATTTTTGTATCCTTAACCACCCTCCCCCGCACCGCTCCCAGGTCTATGCCATCCTCGCACAGTTGGCTCTAGGAGATGGTTGGTGCTAATGCAAAGTAGTGTTTGCTTCTTCATCAGGCCACCTCTTCTGCCTGTGTTTTGATTTCCATACTTTGATATCACTGGTGCCTCTTCTCTTAACAAAGCTTTTCCTTGAGTTTCTTAACTCTGCCTTCTCTTTTCTCACTCCCCAGATCCTCCTTTGTGCTCAGACTTCTGAATGTGTCATATGCACAGGTGCTTGTTTCTAGGCCATCCACTCCCCTACCACCCTGCACTCAGACCTCCTATCCAACTCAGCCGAGCCATCAGCACCACTCTACTCAAAGCTGCTTCATCCTCACCGTAGCATGGTACTCTGTTCTCAGTCCTCGCTCTTTGTCCTCTCTTCAGCTGGTTTGACCAGTTACTCTGAAACTCCTGCTGTTCTTGATTTATGTGGCATTAATCCTGGTTCTTTTACTTTTCTATCTCTGGATTTTCTTCCTACTTGTTCCTAATTCGTAGCTTCCTCATATATGTTTATTCTCTCTCTTGGCTTGAGCCTTAATCATAACGTCTTTTGGTAAGAGGTAAGACACTGAACTTTTAGGTTTTTTGACTAGTATAATTAATTATGAATAAAGCTGGTATGAAATAGATTAATTTCTATCCTAAGGAGTTCTTTGCTCTAGATTTTTAATGATAATGCCTATATTAGCAAGTCTCTGTTCTTTGCCTGTGGAATATCCCTAAATACAAATTATGTCTTTCGCTTAAGGTCTCTCTTATTGACATCTTCTTACTTGATATGCAGTAAATTGTTGAAAATGGCTGAGAAGGGACACATTCCAGTTCCCCCAGCTTTTGATGCCCTTACATTGTGAGGAGCAATGCCCATCTTTTTATCTTGTTCCATGGCTTAAACTCATTCCTGACAGCAAAAACATTTTTCTAATCAAAGACAAATCTAGTTTTTTCCTTTCTGGGAGTCTGCTAAATATGAGTCTAAGAAGCTGTAAATGCCAGCCTAATAATAGAAATGGCCCTCTTCCTTCTTCAGGAAGGAAGGAAGGGTGAAAATACCTGGAGCTGGGGCAACCATCTTGCCACTAGCTGGGAGATGAAAACCACAGAAGACGGCAGAGTGGAGACAATCACAGAGAAATGGTGCACCAGGCTTCCTGGTATGCCATGCCTGGGCCATACAGAGGTTGCAATTGGAACAATCCTAGTATGTGAGATATTGATGGATTTCCCCCCATATATAAAAATTCTAAATTCCTTGGTTCAAAGGGTATCATATAGGTGTGAGGAAGAAAAAAGTGGGAACATGATTTGGTTTCTCTCTTCTGCCAGAAGTCAAGACAAAGTATGCTAAGAAGACACAGTTGGGAAAGAGTTTGGGGAATGAATTGTTGAGAGGTTCCCAAATTACCACCTCAAGTGGTGTTCTTCAGCTGGAAGCAGAAAGGGCAGAGAGTGCCCTATGCAAATGTATTTTTCTTGTGTTGCACTACGGGGATCAGAGTTTCCTTTGGGTCCCATATACATGTCAAAAGTCAACTAGAAGAATGATCTAGATCAACACTGTCCAGTACAGTAGCAACAAGTTACAGATGGCTACTGGACACTTGAAATATGATTCCAAACTGACATGTACTATATAAATGTAGACTACACACTAGACTTCAGAGACTTAGAAAATGAACATAACATCAACAATTTTTCCTTCATTTACGTGTAGAAATGATAGTGTTTGGGATATATTGGGTTAAATAAAACATATGTTAAAAAAAAAAAGGGGGAAACGACAAGAAATCCAGTCTCCAATAACCTACCCTGGTAGCCGTGAGCACCCCTAGTATTCAGATTTGTGGTCTTGTAATACCAGTTTCTCCTAAAAGGAAAGAACAAGAGCTTCTAGGAGAAATGGCTGATGTCAGGTCTGAGGAGGAATTGGACAAGCTGGGAACCTCCCAGGAAAGCGATAAAGAATCAAACATTTCTGGGGTGCCTGGGTGGCTCAGTTGGTTAAGTGTCCGGCTTCACCTCAGGTTATGATCTCACAGTTCATGGGTTCGAACCCTGTGTCAGGCTCTGTACTGACAGCTCAAAGCCTGGAGCCTGCTTGAGATTCTGTGTCTCCCTCTCTCTCTGCCCTTCCTCTGCTCACTCTGTCTCTCTCTCTCTCTCTCAAAAGTAAACACTTTAAAAAATTTTTAAAAAGAATCAAACATTTCTGGGTTCATGCAAAAGGACTCAAGAGCCAACTTGAATAGGCTCCCACTGGAGAAAGATGGGTCATGTGTAGCACCTATAAGATTGTACAAGTTCAAGTGTATTGAAATACAGCAAATATGTTTGAATCTATGAATTTATTAATGATACTTTAATTTTTAAGTTTATTTATTTCGAGAGAGAGAAGGCTCTACACTGACAGATCCCCAATGCAGGGATTGAACTCAGGAACTATGAGATCATGACTTGAGCTGAGACCAAGAGTCAGATGCTTAAACAATTGAGCCATCCAGGTGCCCCTGGATTATTAATGATACTTTAAAAAGAGAGAAAAAAATGAGCCCTCAATTGCTTGATTCTTTTCTTTTTTTTTTTTTTAATAGTTTATTGTCAAGTTGGTTTCCATATAATACCCAGTGCTCATCCCCACAAGTGCCCTCCTCCATGCCCATCACCCCCTTTCCCCTCCCCCCACCCCATCTGCCCTCAGTTTGTTCTTGGCATTCAAGAGTCTCTCATGGTTTGCCTCCCTCCCTCTCCCCCACTATTTTCCCCTGACTCTTTCTTTTGTAATAGTGAGATTCAGGGTCACAGTTCTAAGGAGCTGCAGAGAATTAGGCATAGTCCAGAAGGGAAGTGTGTGCCATGCCAGTAGCCTGCTTGTGGCCTATTAATCAGCTGCCATAAGGCCCTTTCCTATCTTGTTGGTGTGTCATCTGCACTGAAGGGACGTTGTAGTGCTGTGTCTTCCCTCCCTGTACTATAAGGTTTTACATATGATATGGGCTTTCATTCTTGCATTATGTTTAAGTTTTAAAATTATATAGGTATTGTATGCTTTTTGATAAAAACTTGAAATCCTGAGTAATATAGAAAATTCTCTGTTCCCTATCCTTGTTTTTAGATGAGAAAACAGTCATTTTTCTCAGTCACTGCTAGTGGGGTGTCTGGCTGGCTCAGTAGTAGAGCATCTGACTCTTCATCTCAGTGTCGTGAGTTCAAGCCTCATATTGGATACAGAGATTATTTAAAAAATAAATTTCTAAAAAACCCCCAAAGTCACTGCTGTGGATCAGAAGCTTGAACCAAGATACTCCCAAGATCCCTCTGTTTGAGGTTGGTTTGGGTCCTCCTTGTGCTTTTCTCCTTTAGATAATCATGACGTCATTTCCTTGAAGTTGTTTGAGCTGACAGTGGAGAGAACCCCAGAAGAGGAGAAGCTGCATCGAGATGTGTTCCTGCCCTCCGTGGACAACATGAAGCTGCCTGAGGGTGAGCACAGGGGGTCCTGGGAAGTGGTCTCGTGGCTGGAGGGAGGTCACTGTGCCTGGAAGGTCCGAGGTGACTTGCACCTGCAGCTTGCGGGGCCTTCTCCTTTCTGTGTTCTTCCACTAAAGAACATGGAGCAGGTGCTCCTGCTATTCTACTTGTTTGTGTTACAGATGAGCAGGGCTGCTCAGTTTTTATATTGAGGCCTCCTGAAAGGGAGAGTCTGTTATTTCTGGCTCCCAGAAATGGGTGTCAGAAACCGGAGACTCGATACCTTCCCAGCTGGGTGGGCTCCCTGATTGTGACTTGCTTCTCTCTTGCTTCCTCAGTGACCGCCCCATTGCCGCCCCTGAGTGGCCTGGCCCTCTTCCTCATCGTCTTCTTCTCGCTGGTGTTTTCCGTATTTGCCATTGTCATTGGTATCATACTCTACAACAAATGGCAGGAACAGAGCCGAAAGCGTTTCTACTGAGCCGTCCTGCTACTGCTGCCCCTGTGGCTGTCACTATGAGGCGTGGGAGGAGCAGGCGCTGGCCTGAGTATATAGCCTAGCAGGCCTTCTCTAGTCTCCAACAGCTGGTCAGGGACTCTGTTCTGTCACTGGAACTTTGAATGCAGGGATACTGCATTGCCATGGTCATCCATGGGGACATCTGACTCTGGTTCAGGAAGCCCACCTACCCCAGGGCAGTGCTGCTGTGATGTGCCTTTCCCTGCAGTCCTTCCACTTGGGAGCTAAGAGGGATGGAGAGAATATATGCGGTTATGCTACCAAAATCACAGAAAAGAATTTCATAGCTCAGGCTGCCTTATTGTTGGACTCAGAGGACCCTTGTACTTCATTTTTAAATCTGCAAATACTACAACACTGATAACTACTCAGACCTTCCTGGCATCCATTCATTGTTTTTCATCCAAGCCTCTGTCCACCTGAGGAACTTTCATTAGCAATCTGGATGGAAACTTCTTCCCTGTGTTGCCTTCTCCCTCCATTCATCGCTTTCTCCAAATTCAGCCTGAACTAGAAGAGACCATCTGGATGCCTCTCTTTTGGGAGCCTGGGGCTGCAGAACAAACTTAGGTTTCACTGACCCTCATTAGGTGGCCATGGGGAAAGGGCTTTTTGCTTTGGCTCACTGCTCTAGCAATTGTTCTTTAGCGTGAATCTTGGCTCTTTTGGTTTGTGACTTTCCCAGTTGGTTCCTTTAGGCCCTTGGTCACGTTTGGCACACTTGGTGTGCAAGTCAAGAGAAGCTTGGAAGACTCCATGGATGTAATAGAAGCAACTGTGAAACTGACCAGCTCCATGTTTTGACACCAAAAGCAACACTTGCCATGTGGTCTAACCATGTGGAGATGTTTCTGGACTCTGGAGCCTGCATGTTTTGTGTTTATCATGATTTTTTGGAATCCCACTGAGTGTTCAAAACGTAAGGAAGCTTTTTTATAGCCTCGGCTTGGATATGACCCAAAGAGAAAACTTGGCTTCTTTTTCTTAACGGCTAAGAAACCGTTGGTGTTCTCCTGTTGCAAATCTGGGAGCAATAGACCCTCGTCATCTGTGCCTGGAAGAGTTCATTGTCATTAAGTGACAGATCCTGAGTGTCATCCTCTGTGGGTCAGTCCTTGTTCCACTGCCTTATCTGACAAGGGGTCACTTGCTGCTCACCTGTCTGCCCTGTGATTAAGTTGGCCAATAGGCCAGTCTCCCTGGAGGGCCTGGAGCCCTGAGCCCTCCTAGCCATGTACTTCTTTAGCCTAAGGGAAATTCTTAAAATGGCTAATGGAAACCAAACAGAGTCCTTCCTTTGAGGGGTAGATTTGGGGGAAGGTCTAGGCCTTCTGAGCCCCAAGCCCATCAACCCTTGCCCTGCCTTCTTTTAGGTTGGGAAAGCCCTCAACTCAGCCCAGAAGGAAAGGAGGTCACCTTGGCTGCATACAGGTTTCTGTCATATTCGACTTTCTTCTGTCCCTCCCATGTGCCTAAGTGAGCATCACAGGCCACGGTGCTCTTCTACAGATGGAAATAAGATGGGGTCCTCCTAAGACCTTCCCCATAAGAGCAGAGGAGCTCCAGGGTGGGGTGCCAGAGCACAAACTTACCTGGAGCTTGGCCTTAGGACCACTTAGCAATGACAAAGCAAATGGCTCTTTTGTCTTTTTTGAGCTCAGGGGGAGATTGGCTAGACCCCTCTGGTAGGAGCACCTAGGTGGGTTCTTGAGATGGATGGTCCAGGCAGTGGTACAAGAGGGAGCAGTCTCATCGTGGGGGAGGGTGTGCATGTGAGATGATCGAACTTACATGAGTTTTGTATGATTCCCACTCATGGGCTCCTTGAGGCTTTTTAAACAGGATGGGGAAGACGTGAAATGCAGTCCCCACCCAACATGGGGTCAGCCTTTGAGAAATGTGTGATGCAAAGAAACTGTCTAACCTAGCATGGCAAGTCCTGCCCTAGCTCTTGATTTTTGCTCTTGAATTTTATTCAGAAACAAATATTTCCCATTGTGAATGGGACCAGATACTGTTCTGGGCCCCATAATGCCAGGTGTGCCCTAGAGGAAGAAGATGCCTGCTCTGTGGCAGGACTCTTGTGCATGTACCGTAGGGGTGAGAACAGTGATTTTGGCAAGCTGCTTACCCCACGTGAGCCATTTCTCTCCTCACGGCTCCCCTTTCCCTTGGTTTCCCTCTGACTTTAGAGCCTCTTGGAGAGGAATTGACTCTGAAGACTAGAGGTGGTTTATGAAGTTGACATTGTTCCCTGTCCTTGTGAGTCTTGCTTTTCATGTTGTCTTCCATCCCCCAAGTTACAAGGTGACTCTCTGTGACAAAACTTGTTTACTTCAGTGGAAAAATGACAACTCTGTCCTTGTCCGAAGGGGTTTCTGAACAGAATGGCCAGAATATCCTTAGCCCCTTGGGTATGTCCTAGAAGACAGAAATGAGGAGCTGGTAGGAAGCCCAAGGGTAGGGCTGGCGATGGGCAGGAAAAAAGCCAGGCAGACATGGGTCAATTAATCTTGCGGGGCTGGAAGTTCTGGAAAGATGTCTTGCAGGTGATTCAAAGGTCCCTGGAGGAATTTCGGCTCATGTTCTGTTGTAGGATTTAGGTTCATATGCTGGCTGGTGAGGACAGAAGGGTTGGCAGTGTGGGTTTTTGGTAGATTGATGAAATTGTTATCTATTTTAAGGGGAGCACTCAGCCGAAGTCCAGGTTTGATCCAGTTCATGGCCAAGTAGTGCTAGAGAGAAAAGACAATAGTTAGCTTGAGGTAGCGACCTGAGGCTGTCTCTCTTTTTTTTTTTTTTTTTAAATGTTTTTATTTATTTCTAGGAGAGAGAGAGAGAGACAGCATGAGCAGGGGAGGTCAGAGAGAGAGGGAGTCACAGACTGAAACAGGCTCCAGGCTCTGAGCTGGCAGTCAGCACAGAGCCCGACGCCAGGCCTGAACCCACGAACCGCGAGATCATGACCTAAGCGAAAGTCGGACGCTTAACCGACTAAGCCACCCAGGCACCCCTGAGGCTGTCTCTTTAGAGTCATCCCAAGAGCAACTAGTGCCTTTGTCCCTGTCCCCAGGGTTGTCACTCACCGGGGCTGAATAGATAAAGTTGAACAGCAGAAGTGCTATAATAAACATGATTGCAGCAGCTATGATTTTAAAGCGGTAGCGTTTCCAGAAAACTTTGCACAAGTTTATAAGAGGTATCCGATACAAGAACGAGGTGTTGGGGCGTCTGTCCAATAAGCAGAGGAGATGTCAGAGGATGGAGGGCAGAGGGAACCTTCAGGTCAAGTAATCTGGACCAAAGAGCTTTCTTTTTTAAAACAACTTCTGCTTACTTGTGTGTCCCCAGCCCCCCATTTCCCCTTCACCAGGGCTGTTCTCTCCTGATTGTAGCTGACCACTGAGCTGGGGTGCTAAGAAGTAATTACCTCTCTCCACTTGTAGGCCCACTGTTCACCACCCTATTCAAATTGCCAGGCCCAGCAGCTCAGCTTTGTGAATGAGGAAGAAAGATTTTTGTGCCTTTGTCCCGCAGGACCCTTACACGGGAGGATGAAGCGTAGGGTATTGGTTGGGTTCTGACTGGCCTCGCCCTGCTGGCTTGATTAGGGCTTCCTTCTCTGACAGAATCTCCAGTGTCATCTTCACTTTACCCTAGAAACACCATAGGTTGTGGGAGGCTGAGTTCATTACAGCAGGTGCAAGAATAGTTTAAGACCCCTTTCTAGGGTCCAGGAAGGAAAAGGGATTTAGCAAAGGTCCCCAGAAGTCTGTTAGAGCCCAGTTATGTGGCATAGTGGTCCTATGCCAGACATCTTCCCCAGCTCCTACCGACAAGCGCCATTTGCCATCATCGAGGACCTGGCAAGGCCACCATCCCGTTACAGTCTTCTTCTTAAAGAGGGAGATGTGCTTATGCTGGAGCATGTAGGGCCACTTGGAATCTGTATCCATCATCTTGATGGAGCACATGTTGGCATGCCGGGCTGGTAGGGGCATGTCAGACAAATCCAGCTCCAAGACCCCTGAGCCCAAAGAAATGCCATCAGCAAGAAGGAGCTCTCTGTCCTGTGGTCACGGGCCCTATGCTGGATCTCACCTAGGAAGTCATCAGGGGTGAAGATGTCATTGTCCCAGATCTGGATGATGAGCCGGGCTGGAAACTTCATCACTGTGGGATCCAGGCTCCATATGTAGTCCTAGAGGATGACAGAAGAGCATATTCCTGGCCTGTCTCCTTTGAGATTGCCCTTGGCCCCCTTAGTAGCCCACCACCCAGCAGTGATGGACTGTCAAAGAAGTTTCTGCCTGAAGCCACTTTCCAAGGTTCAGCTTGCAGTTCTCTGAGGGAGGCGAAGGGGGAGCACACCCCCCCAACCCGAGTTCTGTTACCTTCTGGCTTTGGACACACATATGCTCGGTTGCTAGGTAGTCCATGGTGAAGATGAACCGCCAGTTGAAGGCGCCTTCCCCAGTGAGGGAGTAGTAGTGGATATCTGTCTTCTGCATGTCCTTCTCTAGCCCGAATAACCACCTGGGGCCAGAGTCATTTCACCCAGAGTTTACATGTTTTGCCCCTCCCCAAGCTGGAGCCTCGTGGGAAGGGCTGCTCAGCAGACACCAGGCATAGGTGGGAGTAGAGAGATGTGGCCCACGAATTGGCAGGGGAGGGGGACATAGGGATGAAACAGCTGGGGAACTCTGAGGGAACGCTGCTGGAGCCCTGCCCTCTTTCTCACCCTTTGATATAGATGTCGCTTATCTCGCCAGATAAACTTTTCCCCAGGTCCACTTGGGCAGTTTTCCAGATGATGCAGCGCAGCTCATACCTGCAGCCACTGTACTCTGAGGCTTTGCTGAGGAATAGCTCCCCAACTGCAGCCTTGCTGCTGGAAGAGAGGCTGGGAGGCCCTTGCCCACGCAAGGCATGCTACCTTTGGGAGCATGCAAGCGAGGAGGCTCCCAGGATTCCCAAGAGAAGGAAAGAATGTGCTGTTCCCCAGCATGTGAGCACACCCATGTTACATGCCCTGGGAAGTACAGTGATGGGGATGAGGTGGGTCACTTACCTTTTAGGCTTTCTGGGCTTGATGTTGACTGGGGGGCCAGGAGGCCCAAGCTTCTTGGGAAAGATGTCCACCCACATTTGCACCTTTCCCTAGAGTGGAGATGGATTAGCTGGCTGGGGCTTGCTAGCCTCCGTTCTGAGCATGCTGTGGCCTGGGGGCTCTGTCCCAGGGTCTGGGCTCTGTGGAGGCTAGGTCCCTACAGAGGGTGGGGTAAGGAGGTGGAATGGACTTCAGACAGGAAGTCTGGCATCTCCCCACCAGCTTCCCTTTTTTCTCATTTTGGCTGGAAGAACAGTGCAGAGTAAGGCTGGTAAAGTATGATGGCTTCAAGGCTGGTGGCTGCAGCGTGTTATCACTCGTGACTGGGGGCTGCAGGGTTAATGCCGTTGAGCAGGCTGTGCTAGACAGCCTCTCTGGACAGGGCACCACAGTGGGGTTGGGGCTTCATTTGTTAAGCAGCTTAGTGGCCCCAATAAGAGCAAACTACACGGTCAGTCCAAGTGTCCAGGTCGCTTTATGTTGTGTAAGCATATCATAAGGAAATGAAGCTCTCCACCAAGCACAGAGGGATGTCTTAAGGAGGGAGGCGTGAAAATGGTGAGAAAAAGGAAGAGAAAAAACTACAAGAATAGAACTACCAACACTGGAAGGTAGATAAATATATTCTTTCAAACTGACCTCATTTTACTCTTTTGAAGTTGACCCCATTTAAGAAAACAAGTTTAATGAGAATGGTTTATAAAAAGTGCTCAGCAGAGAACTTTATGTCTGGAATGTGGTATCAGCTTGAGAAATTTGGAGAATGAGATGAGCTGGCCTGGTGGCTGGAGGGTAGATGATAATTAGGGTGCCTGTGGGGATTTTTATTCCTTCTGTTTGGGGTTCCTTGCCATGGAGAAAACACAGCCTGCAATTAACAGGCAAACCAGGGTTGTAATGTCTGCACATCTGACCCCAGGCGCTACCTTCCCACCCTCCCTCAGGAGAGA